ATATATAATTAGCTGTGACAATCATTGCTATTACTTACAAAAATGTGAATATTTCCAATTTTTACCTTAATTTAATTTAAAAATGTTGAAAAAACTGAAAAAGTTCCACAATGGCAAAAAACAAATCTCATAACGGAAGAAAATAACAGAGTATTATATGTCCAAAAGCACTAAAAATACAACTTTCACAATAACAAACTCAATGTTCCAGAAACCTAATTGGTATAGTTAAATAAAAATGTTATCAAAATAAACAAAAACAATGTAATACTGTCCGAAAATAATCCTCAAAAAATCTTAAAATAACACACAGTCTTATGCAGCTACTAAAAGTGTCACCAGTGTTACGTAACATCTGTTCGGCGCTTGTTTAACGTGGTGATATATTTAAGTAAGCAATCCTGTATGTCCATAATCGTTGCGTCAGTACGTCTCAAATCACAATGGATATGACGTCATCATTTCAACGCTAAAATGTAGCTCCGATATTCTGTGGCCAGAATGAATATTGGTATATGTTTTTTTTCTGATTGATTCGGCCGTTACTTGATGAAGATCCATAGTAATTTCAAAAACTACACCTCACGATTTGATCTCCACAAACTTTATTTGAAAAATATAAATATATCACGACATGTAGCACAGTAGCACAGTAGCTTTGTCAAGTGATTTGAATCATTTTTCAAATGAAGTTTGTGGAAATCAAATCGTGAGGTGTAGTTTTTGAAAATGAATATATTCAAATCACAGACGAATACGTTTGAAACACCTGTGATGAATGGTATTTATGGCTTTGGCACTTGGCATCGACATAATATGTCATTTGAGATACAAAATGAAGATGCGTAGAAATCATGGTATTTAATGACTGTTTAACCCATTCGCTTTTGTTTTGTCAAAAACTCTCGATATGAGAAATGATATTGACCCAACTATGTACACATGTTGATAGATGGTGCAAGAATCGAAATCTGTAGCGCATATTTTATTCAAATATTCAATTTATGGGTTATTATGTAAAAAAAAATATTTCACCTGAATTCATTCCCAAATTTGAACAACATTGAAAATTTGAAAATTGAAGTGCCAACTTGATATTGTCAAACTGCGTCACTTAAGTTTTGTACTCAGTATCCCTGGGAAAGAAATACTGAAATTCATTGGATCTTATTTCTTTATTAAGAGTGCCGTAGTTTGAGAGTTTTGGAAAAAATATTTCAGATAGGAATGTGATCTTGATCTTCAAACTTGAATAATCACATACGTGCTCAAGAAATATTTCTAGAAGAATTATCGCTTTGTTCATACCCGCAGCGCATGTCAGATAGGAATGTGATCCAAGTGAGTACACTAGAGATCTTACCTCAAACTTGAATAATCACATACGTGCTCAAGAAATATTTCTAGAAGAATTATCGCTTTGTTCATACCCGCAGCGCATGCGCATAATTCATAATCTTACCTAATTCATATTCAGAATATCCCCCTATAGCCTATAACTACAACTACACCACAGTATACAAGAAATACTGTGACTACACTGTCAGTCTCTACTCTTTGTAGACCACAAAACATTGGTTCTGTAATCTGTGTAGAAGTGTTTTTTTTTATGAATCTTCAAACTTGTTTATTGTATGTATTTTTGTATTTACCTTTACATATATTCTCATGAAATGAAGTTTATCTCTATTTTTCAGGTTCTAATGGATAAACCAGAAATAATTATTTTAGTTAGTGGAAAAAGAAAGTCTGGTAAGGATTACATATGTGAGAAGGTGAAGTCACTGTGAGCATTATATCATGTTGATTTTTTTACCAAATATTTGATATTAAAATTATTAGATTAGGTGAAGAAAAATGTTCCATCATTCGAATATCAGAACCATTGAAGAAATTGTACTCTGAGAAACATAATTTAGATGGAGCAGAATTAATGACTGATGGCCCATATAAAGAGAAATACAGATTGGACATGATAAATTGGAGTGATGAGGTCAGGAAAGAAGCACCTGGTTACTTTTGTCGAGTTGCATGTGAAGGTAAAAATCAAATTTTGTAAATAATGAGTCGCATTATCAAATTTTAGCACCTTCTAAAGCTGTTTGGATAGTTAGTGATATAAGAAGAAAATCTGATATAGCCTGGTTTCGAGATACATATACAAATAAAATCAAAACCGTCAGAATTTCAGCTGACGTTGAAGTACGAAAAAGCAGGGGCTGGAAGTATACAGAAGGCATGTCAATCTAAATATAAATAATTACTATAATTTTGTCCTTGATTATTGTTTTCAAATAAATTACTTTAATTTTTTTAGGTGTGGATGATGTGGAGTCAGAATGCAATTTAGATGATTTTAATGATTGGGATATTCAGATTTCCAACAATAGCACTGAAGAATGTGAATTTGCAGTCTCATTATTAATTTCAACCATTTCTAAAGAGTGTCGTTTTGTATAATTGTTTTCTAAATTGATAATTTTGGTATATTCATAGTTCATGTTATGATCAAGATTATTTTGAAAGATTGAAGGTTTTAAAAGCCTATATAATAATCACTCCTGTGTCCTATTATTATTGATTTTAGATTTCGACTTATCTCTGAAATATATTTTATGTTGCAAAAAATGCAAGGTATACTATACACACTAATAATTTTCATGAAAGATGATTTTTTGTCTTTTAATTTTCAATTAATTCTATTTATTGGTAATAAATTCCTTAAGGCTGTTTAAATATCGGGTTCATTTTTAAAAACGTCAACAATTTTTGGAGATTATTGTTGAATAAAAGGAATGGAACCAAAAGTAATTATATTACCATCAGTATAATACTAGAGTTTGTTGTATTAGATGTTATATTCACTGTTTCATTTGATGATCAATGTATTGAAAAGCAATTTCGTGAGTAGGCGTCGTCTTTCAATATTAGCTATGAACAATTTTATTTTTTCTATTCTTCATTCCAAGGATAAAAATAATTTTAGTTTCTTGATAGTGGTGGAATAAAAAAAATCAATATATTCGTCTGAATTAGCTGTTTTGATGTACCGATCTAAAATAATAGTATTATTATTTGCTCTTATCAGATGGGTATCCAAAAATGGAACTTCATTATCAGTTTCTTTTTCTTTAGTGAACTGTATATTTTCGTCTAAACTTTCATTTCATTAATTTTATCATATGGTACAAAATAGACTATGGTACACTCTTTTTTAAAAAAGGGTAATCTGAAAATTAGTTGATTTGAATTTTCAAAACAACATACTGTTCATTTCAAAATTCTTGTTATCAACAAGTTTTAGGTATTCCAATGGGTTCAACAGACTTTCCCATTTGTGCTCAATATGTATGGATTACCTTTTAAAATCTTGTATTCAAAAACGTTCTTTAGATTACCTTTTTAAAAAGTAAGGCAATGATATTGTCTGTTCTGTACTTTAATATATAGTATGTGTTCGCGAGAAGTCGCCAACCAATCAGGACTTTCTGCGCCACAAGTACAGCCTATGGCAACGTATAAATAGAGCACAGCACAGAAACTCGTTAGCTAGGGAAGCTATAGATTATGCTGTAGACGACCCCTCCCGATTTAGAAGGCCCCAACACTTGGTCGAATGAGGCCCACATGTCCCCCGTTAACAGATGAACAATTTTTCATCCACGCACGCCAGCCAGGCAGTGGTATACCATGACGAGCACTACTGATGTCTGAGGACTTTCATGCTGCCACCCCTGATCAGTTATGTCCCATTTGTCCTTCTAACAAGCGCCAGCCGAAAGGGTAAGGGAGCCAGGCTCCAAACTATCTGAAATCAAGATGATTCAAAGTGTGATCTTTCTGAAACTTGGGTACACCCAGGTCATTGGCATACTGATGGCAACGGTTCAACATAATTAAGCCATTGTCTTTTATGAGGTTGTGAAAACACACCACCTATCTTCCCGTAAAATATTGTTGGACCCTTATATTTTTGCCAGCTACTTTCCATTGTTGTATTTCCAGCGCCGGGCCATTACCGCATCATATGACATTCTGCCAACATTCTGCCATTATTTACATTGTGAAAGATTGACAGAGTTTTCATTTCATGATCGAAAGTGAGTAGAGCTTCATACTGTGCTGTAAACCCTTGAGTCAATTCAAAAATAACGGCTTCCTTATGCATAGTTGAGAAATTCTAGTGAGGAAAGTAAGAGGAGCGAAATGGAAAAGTAACGTTCAACCATAATTTCATCATTACAATTTTCAAAATAATTTTTAGCCTGATTTCAAATGGTTTTTCTTGTTAATTCAGCTTTTTTTTATTTTGGAGTACCTAGGTTCTTGTGATGGTTTTTACATCTTTTCATAAAACTGTAATTCAGATTCTAGTTAGGTATTATTAAGCTGAAAAGGCAGTTTTTCATGCAAGGATGTCATTACTTTGTGAAGAGTTCATGTTTCCTTTTTTAAATACCTTGCCTCTCGCGATGAATTTTTTGGTACATATGTTGTACAGGTTTGGGGCAGATTTAAACTAGGTACAGCACTTTTTTAAGCAGTTTCCTTACAGGTAATCCTAATAATTCGTTTCTCAGGTCTCTTTCGTAATCATTGCTAGTACAATGAACGGAACAAATTTGACTGGTATCAGGATTCCATTTATCCGTTCTTTTGCAGCGTCTTATCCATTCTTTTCGTACAGTACCCGATACGAAATCATTTGCTTTAGGAAAGTTGTGGTAAACAATGTCTTTTCCGGTAAGTTTTGTGGACACACGGCAGTTGTTACAACCAAAAACAGCGCCACGACGTCCTGGCATGTTTATTGTAAAAAAATTCTTTCATTTACTAGATGCACGAAGAAGTATAAACACAAAAACCATCACTTAACAACGTGTCTCATCGCGTTCACAGTCACACACCGCGATATTCCAACGGCTACGGGTCCGCGGTGATGTCATAAAGTAGTGGGGACTCGGTTCACGCACGACAACATTGCTGGTATAAGGATCTGGCTATCCTATGTTATATAACGGTCCTTGGTTAAGGATACCATAACAGACCATATGGTCTGTGGATACCACTCAGCAATGAAGCCCGAAACAAAGAACGGATACACCCAAAAGACAATAGATACATTAGAAAACAGAATCAAACAAAAAATACAGAACAAGGATCAAAACAACACAACGATGGACAGCATTTACGTACGTAGGACACCAAATCAAAAAACTAGCAAACATCTTCAAGCCATTGAACATCAACATCACATACAAGTCAAACACGAAAATAACACAAAAAATAAACAGCTATGAAAAAAGAAGAAGACAAAAACCAAAACGGGATATACAGTATACAATGCTCGGACTGCAACAAATTCTATATCGGGCAAACCAAGAAAAAACTGATCCAAAGGTACGATGAGCACAAGAAGGCATACATAAACCCAATAGTATATAAATCAAACCTCGCAACACACGCCATACAAAACAAACATAATTTCCCCCCACCAGAGAACATAAAACAAGTCAATAAGGGAAACCGCATGGACATTTGGAAAAACTTAAACATTTATAAATTCAACAGTTATAAATCACTTATCGAGGAACAAGTACAAATCAAAACACAACAAGACCTAACATTCAATATATTAAACAAATCAAGACAAACTCCTAGAAACAATAAACCTAGAGAAGATCCAAACACGAAGAATAGTACCTGATGTAATCGAAATACAGGCAAGTTTACCTAAAGTACCTGTATTGAGGCGTTCGGACCGTATAAAAGGACACACAACAGGATGACACTTTCAGATAGAGTAGGGCCTAGAGGATGACAGCACGACCAGCTGTTATACCAATATTTCGATAAAATTTATTATCATCTTCAGGGAAAAGTGTTAGTGAGGTTGGCCGTGTCGGAAAGAATGTTACATTTACACAATTGAAACATGTCATTACAATAAACAGTCATTACATTAAAAGAGGTTGACTCCTCACTGGATACAAAGAAGAATATTGAAATAAGAAGCATATTACGCTCATGCATAATGCGATTAGAAGCAATCGTATACACACTTGAGAAGTTCAGTACCATTATAATAATCGAATATAATATGTGACCAGATACTATTCAAAATTTCTGAAAACAGATCGGTTTTTTTGTGACCTCATGTATACCAACATAATAAACCTCGGTAGAGCACAAGGCAGTGCACTTCTGCTTTTTACATCACCAAGAAATAGGTGTCACAAAAAAATGGAAACAAAACTATAAAATAATTTTCTATTGTCTGGATCATATTATTGGCCCAATCAGAATCAATGTGATCATATATAAAATTGACACTTTTTCTATGCATAGACTGAGTTCCTTTGAGATATCTCAATGTTTTTTTTACGGCCTGCCGATGATTTTTGGTATAAATAACATTGAATTCACTCAAATATAAACTGCAGAACACATGCTCAAATATAACAACAAACACCAAATCATTTGCTGATATGGCACATTATCAATAAAAGTCTCATTTTCAATCATGGGATGTTTCCATTTTGGAATGTTTACCGAATTACAATCCGTCATTCCAAACCCAGCAAGAATCTGATTCATATATAATTTTGACGACTTGATTTCAAGGAGTTATTTCTTTGATCTCAAATAATTTGCATTCATAGAATATGACTAGCAGCACCTAGATCTTTAGTTTTGAACTGAAAATTCGAATATTCTTTCAAAATGTTTACTTCAAAATCATTGTAGAATAAAATATAATCATCAAAGTATCTTGTGATGATTTTTATAGAATGGTTCCTAATTTTGAAGTAAACACATGGCTCGTGAGAAGACTGAATGAACTGAAATTTACAAATGTAACTCAATAGAAAGAGCTAATAAGAAACGTATCGTACTATAGGAAAAAATATTTTAGTGTAATCAATTCCAAACTATATCTAGAGCCTTTTGCTACTGATCTAGCTTCAAACACACATATTTTCCCTTGAGTTTCTGTTCGCTTGAAAAATTCATTTGTTGTCAACAACAGACCTCATTGCATTCATCCATTTGTCAAAATGTTTACTACGTAATGCATAAATCAAAGTAACAGGTTCCATCAATTATATCTTGTATAACAATATATTAAATGACGGGTTCTTCCTTTTCAACTATTGGGTTTTCACCCCTCCCATCTTCTTCTCTGGCTTCAACTTCCTGATAATGATAATAATCTAGACTTGACTTTTCAATTCCTTCGCTAGCTTCAACTTCCTGATGAGAATTTAGAATTGACTTCACTTCTCGAGTTCATTTCTGGACTCAATTCGTTTTCGTCTGAACTAGGAAAAAATTCTTCCAAGAAACAATCTATATCCGTTGAAAGATTCACTATATTAAACAAATATTGAAATATTTCTTTCAGAATCAAGTTTCTTCCTTTTCTGGTCTGGTATATGGGCACAAACAGTACCTAAACC